CAAACTTTCAAGTTAAAATTGTATCATTTTACATTGCTAATGCAAAGAAAAACCTGGGTCACACTGAAAGGGCAGAGCCCACACTGAATACTGGGAAAAATTAGCATTTTCATATGACTGTACAGAACTGCCCAGCTGTAAACAGCAGCCTTGCACCAAAGGGGTGAAGGAACAGCACAGATGTGCAGATTAAGTCCAAAGATGCTTCGAAACACATCTGTGAAAGGTCCCTGTATGGATCAGTAATGCCAGATCCTCCGCAGAACTGCTACATGCTTTGATGTAAGCCACAAGTTGATACATTTCGGACCTCTCTTCCGAGCATTACCTGTGGCATTTTGCCTTGCTCGCCACTAGGCCAAGTGTCACCCAATCAAAAGAGGCACCACATCCATCACGGTCAGCAGCTGGGCAGTGTCACCCATCAGCAGGCCAGAAGGCTCAGCGCTCTGACAGCCACCGAAACCTTTGCAGAAAACAAGCCCCCGCTGCCTGAGAGAACAGTAAAAGGACCAGAACTGCTGACTGGTAGTGGCAGTGAAGCTTTTTCCCCTGGAAAATGTCATCTGAAATTCTGAAAGCATCATCTCCAAGATTTCCTAGCCCAAAGGCACATCACACATCCTACACTGTCACTGGAGCTCAAACGCCAATCCTGACATTGTATTACAGTCCTAAAAAGGGTGAGACACCAATGTACTTTTGGAGCAAGGAGTGAGATGGAGGCTTTGGACTGCTAGATACAACCTTCCAAGTGACAGTAAAAATCTCATAGCCTCTCTGACTTTCAGTAATGTACTTCAGCCAGCTGCTCATGCCAAGCATGTTCTATCAACTTTCATGTTCGTATCCTCCACAATCCCCCTCGGATTTCCTTCTAAAATCACCTGCCATAGAAAAATAACCTCTGAGGATGAACAGAAGCCAGATACGTCCAGGAGCAAAACTGAAAAGACACTGTAACTGGGTTTATGACTAGAGTATATTAAAACTCTCAGTGAGTAAAAAGAGTAGCATTTTGATGACATATTTTTTGCTAGTATGTTACAGCAAAGTTTTATGGAAAATTTCAGATATACCTGGCAATATCCAGCCCCATAAAGCAAACTGCAACTTTTGTTTATGTTCTCTATCCCACATTAAATGTTTGGGGTTTTTTATAATATATCAAAAGGAAAAAACATCTGGGAAGATGCATGTGTGGTCCAACAAAGGTTTTTCTAGAAAATTCTTCCTTTATAAAAAAAACCCCACCTAAGTACCATAAAAAGAGCCATAACTTATAACTAATGATGTTGGCTTGCAAGGTAAAACTTTGTATGCAAAAAGGCAGTCAGATGACAGACTGTGCATTCCCATGATACAAACAACATTACTGTACCATCGTGACAGAAAATCTGAGGGCACAAGAACTGAAACAGCTGGAAAGTAACCAGTGAACTCACAGTACCTTGCCAGGACAACCATGTGGCCAAAAACTGGGGGAAAAGCAGCCTAAGATGTCACAACAGAAAATGAAGGGCAATATGAGCAAAGGATGAACTTTGGAGAAATGCTCATTCTATGAATTCAAAGAAATAAAAAAGGAACTGTGGTTGAAGCATGTGTGTGAGACAGAAGGCTGAAACCCACACAAGACAATACTTTAAGCTAAGGCTCCTGCTGTACCTCTGCCTAAAGGGCTGAGTTGGAGAAAATAAAGGAAGACAATGGCTGCCCACAATTTCCCATCTATTCTGGAAGGGTGTTGTGGAAGTTGATTGATCAGTGAGGGTAGAACAGATAAAACAGTAATTAACTACTAGTTTGAGCTCTTTGAAAGTCCAAGTCTTGCCATCAAGAACAAAAAATTTAATTCCATTTTCTTCCTCCACACAGACTGCCCCAGTTTGCTTTGATGGCATGTCTGAAGTGGAACAACTTGTCCTCGATCTACAACTGATGCTCAAAACGGAACCCCTGAGACATTAGCTGCACTTCTGTGAATCTCACAGAAATAAAGCTACAGAGCACCAGTTCTTCAATATTTCATGGAGAAATCTGACAAAATATTTACGAATGTAGTAAACACGAGAACAATTTCACAAAGGCATAATCTGCTTCAAGCTTGCACATGCTCGAGCCATTACTATGCTTCTGTTTTAAAAGAGAAATGAAAATGAGAGGAGAAAGAATCCTTTAAGTACAAGTCTGTTCTTTATGCTTGCATGAGAGGATTATTTAATGGAATTGGGAAATACTTGTAGTTAAAGATGACATGCAACTAGAATACAGTGCTACATCCGCAGCTATTGCCACATGCTTCTACTTGATGTCTTCATTCTACTGCACTTATGTTTAACATGCTGTTGTGCATATCCTGTTTAATAGTGCAAGTAGCAACACAGGTACAGCAAGGGCAGGACAAAGTCCTAAAGTAAAGGACAATGACAGCAAAAGAAAGAAAAACAAAACAAAACAAACCCCCAAAACAAAGAATCCCAGTAATAAATAAAACGTGGAGAGTTGCAGCTATGGGTCTAGAATACCACGTCTCAGGCTAACCGTAAAGACCGGCAGCGGGCTGTCATTTAATCCCCGGGCACGGACGGCTCCGCGCCCGCCGAACACCGCACTTGAGGCCGCGGCGGCGGCAGGCCGGCACACGCAGCTCGCTCCCTACGCCAAGTGACCGGGCCGAACGCTCAACCCGGCCACAGGCGCTGCTACCGACTGCCCTCAGTCCAACACACCGAGAGACGCGCTGCGGCTCACGGAGGCGGCCCGACGCTGCCGTTCTCATGTCTCGGCAGGGTTAACCCGCTCCACACCGACAGCGGGCGGTCGCCACCAGCAGCTCGCCCCGGCGACCCAACACGAGCAGCGCTTAGCCACCAGCCCGGCGGGAGAAGCGCCGGACAGCGCTGCCGCGGGCGCCGCCGGCAGCGGCGAGGGGCGGCCCGCCCGGCCCGGGACCACGGCGGGACAGAGCCCCGGCCCACCGCCCCCAGT